TCTCTCTCTATATATATATATATATATATATCTATAGATATATATATATCTATAGATATATATATATATATATATAGAGAGAGAGAGAGAGAGAGAGAGAGAGATAGATAGATAGATAGATAGATAGACAGATAGATAGATAGATAGATAGATAGATAGATAGATAGATAGATAGATATAGATATATTTTGTCAGTCATGGTGCCTAAACTCTGGGCCTGGGCGCTATCCCTCAGTTCTTCAGCTCAAGGCTAGTACTCTACCACTTGAGCCACAGTGCCACTTCCAGCTTTTTCTGCTTCTGTGGTGCTGTGGGATCGAACCCAGGGCCTCATGCATGCAAGGCAAGTATTCTACCACTGAGCCACCTTCCCAGCCCCAGTAATGTATATTTCTTAAACTTCAGGGATGGTTACAATTTTTGCCAGCAGTGGAGATTCTCTCAGTGACACTGTCATTGCTTGGATGTGGTAGAGAGTGAATGTTAACATCTGTCTCAGACAGGAATACCAGCCAACTGGAATAAAAGGGGTTTTTAAAAACCCAGGTACATCCACAGACTATTCTTCCCTCACCTTATCCTCTGGAAGTTATTGCTCATGATCAAAAATGTGTTTAAAGCTGGGCACTGGTGGCTCACGCCTGTGATCCTATCTGCTCAGAAGTCAGAGATCTGAAGATCATGGTTTAAAGCTAGCCCTAGGAGATAAAGCCAAGAAACTCACCAATTAACCAGCAAAAAAATAAGAAGCAAAGGTATGGCTCCAGTGGTTGAACATCAGCCTTGAGGGGAAAAGCTAAGCAAGAGCTCAAAGCTCTGAATTCAAGCCCCAATCAAGCAAACAAAAACAATTAAACAAATAATTTTTTTTTAAAAAAAAAACCTGTGTTTAGAGAAAATCCCTGATCCAGAAAGATGCTGTCATGGAAAGTTGTGTGGTTTGGACTTGCCATTGGTAGACTACGAGAAAGAGGTCACAGAGTAGGTCAAACTTTCCCCGCCTTACAGATGAAATCCAGAGATACAGAAGGAATTTGCCCGAAGCAGAGTTGGTAAAGTCTCCTATTTCCAGTATTAGTCTGTAGGTGTCTGCTCCACACATGGCTGCTATCTACAGATGAGAAAACAAAGGTTTGGGAAAAGGAACAACAGAGATCTATTTTCGGGTATGTGGGTGCACCTGTGTACATGAGTGTGTCTGGATTGCCAAACCTCACCTGACTTGTTGCCACTGTTCACAGGTGTGTACTTGAAATAGAAGAGTTTTTTGAGGGGGCAGGGAGGGAATTTCTTTTCTTTTTTTAAGATTATTTATTTAAAATAAGTTTTTTTATTGTGAAAATACTGTACAGAGGGGTTACAATTACATAAGCAAGGTAATGAGAATATTTCTTATCAAGCATTGTTGCCTCCTTGTTTTTCCCCTACCATCCTTGCCCTCCCATCTCCACAACTACACTTCCCCCTCCCCAACCTAAATTGTAAAGTTCATTTTTTGACTTAACGTCTTGTAAATCTCATTGTTGCAATGGGTCCACCTGTATCTCTATTTAAACAATTTGTTTTTTCCCTTCCCCTCCCCAAATTATACCAGCATCAAATACAGTAAAAATTTGCATAGGCCTGGGATATCACTTGGTTATTGAAGAGAGTTATTCAAGTAAAGGGAGATCTTAGTAACCACTTCTTCATAAAACTTGCTAAATGTTACAACTCCTTATAAGATTTAACCAAGGCCACAATTTCTTTAAAAATGTAATCAAGCAACATGACAGTCTGCTGTTTCCCTGACCTGACCACACAGAATTTTTCTTCACAATCTTGTCTCTTTTCTTTGTTAGCTACTACAGAGCTTCTCACTGTTAAAGAATTGCAAACATCCTCATTCTAAGAGCTGTTTTACTCTGGTATATAGCGACCGGCCAGAATTCTGGGGGAAAAAAAATCACGCTTTAGAATGTAACCATAAGTTCAGCTGCTGGAGAGTACTTTATTTTTCTGTATGCTAACCAGGTCTTCTACTGCTGATACGTAATAGTTAGGCAGTAAATGTTACTCCTTAAAGTTCCCAATGCTTCAGATCAATATGAGTGCTCAAGCTCATCATTTAAGATCTTTCTAATTATCATTCATGTCACAAGGAGCTGGAGGCTCTCAAACTGTTTGCTTCTCTCCTGCTTCCTTGCCCTGCATATTTCTACCCATGGGCTGCCTACTCCTGCTTTGAAGCAGGGAAACTTCTGTATGGAATCCTCTTGTGTCTCCCTAAGTTGGACTAGGTTCCTTTCTTTTCTCTACCTATTCTCTAAAGATACATGACACAGACACACACATGTACTCACAGCCATACATCTATATGTATGTGGACACATATACACAAATAAGCACATGGCCATACCCCCCACACACACACACAAACACACACACACACTCATAACAGGCATATACATTCTCCCAGGCATAATCTGCAATAGTCTCCTGTAGTTCCCATCTCCTTTTCCAGCCTTTTCTAGCTCTTCTGAGAGGGAAAACCAGGACCTGCCCTGACTTTCTGGGCCCACACTCCTGGGGGCTGACTATGTGATTGTAAGTGAATGAAGTGTAGTTGCCATTTTACTCTGCAGTCCCTAGTGTGTGAGCAAGGGGCTTCCAACATCTCCTGTGTTGGGAAACCTTAACTGTAGCTGAGAGTGGACCAGGACTCTGAGAGAACACACCATCCCAGACCAGGGCCAAATAAATCATCCTTCATTAAGGTAAGATTTCACAGTCAGCTACATCCTGTGCCTCCCATCTGGCAATGGAGACAAAACAGACAGATATGCAAGTCAGCCTCCTTTCTCCAATATAGTCCATTTGCAAGGTAAGCCCTTGTCTACATACTCTGAACAAATAACATCATGAATTATGCTTTCTGATGTCCACAAGGAGCACACCAGACTAAGGCCATGATTGTCTGAAGACCTGAGGTGTGGCCTGGCTTACAAGGTACTGCTATAGTGTCATTTTAACTACATAACTGAAAGTGTGTGCTTAAGAAATGATTGACACAATTAAAATGATTTAACTGAGACACTTTCTCCATGGAATGCCAGTTCCAGAAATAGATAAACAGACACAAGTGAGATGAAAGTAACTCTCAGTGGCCATGCCTTCTGCTTTCCTAGCTAGCAATCTAGAAATAATTGTCACTTAGAAGGAAAAAAATGAAGCCTGATTTCTCCTACTTGAGGCCAATCTTACTGGATATGATCCTTGAACTATGTGTCATTGGTAAGTCTCATCTCTGTGCTTCAGTTGATTTCTAGATGAATCTATCTATCTGTCTGTCTGTCTGTCTGTCTCTGTCTATCTATCTGTCTATTTATCTATCTATCTGTCTGTCTATGAACACACACACACATACACACACATACACACACCCTTTCCTCTTACGTTACAGTATACATTAAGTGATTTAATACACACATTATACAAACACAAAACTTAGATAATTGCCTGGCTAATAGTAAATGATCAGTGAAAGTTAATGAGGCAAATATTTTTAGCTATTTAACCTTGACTGCTCTTGCTTCTTCTATCATAAGATGTCCTAAGATCTACTTGACTATCCCTAAGGCATAGATGGGATTCTCAATTGAACTGGTCACCTTTTTCATAATGCTAATTTTCATATGATATTAAATAATGTATTTATTATGAAGTTAAAATTTCTCCTTGGGCCACCACATTGATTTCACCTCTTGTTTCCCATGAAGGGAAAACAGCACATTTATAAAAATCTATGGGAAGAATTTTTATTCTCTATTTTGCTGTGGTTCATATTCAGATTGGCTATTAATTCCTTTCCTATATTTTGATTTTGACATCAAGAAATAAATAAAATAAAGGTGAATGACTTCTTCACAGCCTCTACTTTCACCATCCTGAGTCCCACAACAGTTGACCATCTCCCAGAAAAAGCCCTGCCATTTTAGATCTAAATTCCTTTGGGTGTCATGGTTGTCTTTGCAAATTTGTTGAACATTATGAATACTACTCCCAGAAAAATGCACTTATGCACACACACATACACACACACACACACACACACACACATCTAAAAAGGGCTCATTTTATAGTATTTACATGTGTGATGTTGGACTAGAACCCAGGGCACATACTAAGTAAGTACCACTATTGAATACATCCCCAGCCAAGAACTTCTTAATGGAGTAATTTTTAAGCATATTTAGAATATCCATTTTCCCATTTAATTTTTTTCTTAAAAATAAAAATAATCCGCCGGGCTCTGGTGGCTCACGCCTGTAATCCTAGCTACTCAGGAGGCTGAGATCTGAGGATCGCGGTTCAAAGCCAGCCCCGGCAGGAGAGACCGTGAGACTCCTATCTCCAATAAACCACCAGAAAACCGGAAGTGGCGCTGTAGCTCAAGTGGTAGAGTGCTCGCCTTGAGCTGAAGAGCTGAGGGACAGCGCCCAGGCCCAGAGTTCAAGCCCCACGGCCAACAAAATAAATAAATAAATAAATAAAAATAAAAATAATCCAAGGACGTTATCACCTGATAATAATACAAACTTTATCAGAACTGTTCAAAAAATAGTACTAAAGCTAGGTGTCGGTGGCTCACACCTATAATCCTAGCTACTAAAGAGTCTGAGATCTCAAGATCCTGGTTCAAAGCCAGGCCAGGAAGGAAAGTCTGTGAGATGCCTATTTAAAATTAACTACAAAAAGCTGCTAGCTCAAGTGGTAGAGCACTAGCCTTGAACACAAAAGCTAAAAGATAGTTTTCAGACCCTGAGTTCAAGCCCTCCACACACAAAATTAGTATTTAAAATCATGCATTGTAACCTTCCTAAAATGTTCTAGATAGTTTTGCCTATCTTGAGATCCTATAATTGACATTTATTTAAAAATATCTGTGTGTTTTTAACCTGCTTCCTGGTTTCTGGGGAATTTTTTTTGTATCTGTTAGGAAAACACAGTGGGCATTGATGTAGGCCTTCTTAGAAACATTTATTATAATTGTATGAGGAAATAAGTAGAGAGACAGTAATGCTGTCTCTGTATAAGTTTACATTAAATATACAGTGATAACCCACAGATTGTTATCATAATTCAGACTAACCCTAGACATGTTTTGGGACAAATAAATGTACACATGTACATAGCTACTGTTATCACAGAGGAAGAATTGCAAAACAATGGAGAAAGTCTTTTAAAGTCACCCTTCATAAGATATAAAAAAGCAATTTTGGTGAGTTCATTTGTGAATCTCTGTCTCTATGTCTTACATTTTAAAGCAGGGACAGAGAAACTTCCCAGGTATTTGGTATTAGAATTCGTTTTGAAAAAAAAACAAAAAGGTAATTGGCAAAAGCTACTCCAAAAGCACCATTTATTTTTAGAGTTGAACCTGCAGAAAAGTTTATAATAACCAAAAGTTACCATCTTACTTTTTTCCTCTGAGCCCAAACATTACAGACCAGTAGCAGCTGATCTTATAATAATTTATTAGAATTGCATATCACTAGCCATGTATAATAAATTATAGAAACCATAGCATCTTTATAAAGTAATATATCATATTCATTTCCTAATGCTTATTGAAGTAACTAACAAATTTAACTAGGTTATATTTTAGCATTAGTCAGATGATAAAAAATAATTACAAAAATGTTCACAGTACTTTGGATTTATGAACGACCCCATTATATTTTAACTTTTGTGCAAGTTTGAAATGTATAAAAGCCCTTTACAAACAGGCCAGAAGGTGGCATAGGTTTTACCGAGCTGCAAAAGACATCACAACTCCTTTAACATGTACTTTACACTGTGCAGTCCGTTTTCTCAAGCACTGTCATAAATGCAAATAAATAATTACTGATTTCTAAGAGTCAATGCCAACAAACAACATTAACAGCTTGACAACATTTTGAGAATTCGGATAAAAAATTTCAGTAAACAGTATGTGGTAGGTATTCTCTGTCTATCCTCCCTCTCTCTGCCCAGTTTGATAGAGAGTGAGAGAAAGAGGGGAGAGAGGCGAGAGAAAGAGAGAAGGAAGAGAGAGAATGGGAGAGTGAGATCAGTGGAAATTTAAGTCAAGTCCTTTGGCCCAGCAAGTGACTCTGCTGCCTGCTGTCTTTCCAGCCATCTGCTGTGTCCTGTTCTCGCTGCATCTGTCCAGACTCTTCTACCAGTGACAGTTTTTTCCTGCACTGAAAAGAAAGTTTTCAGTGCTTGCTGAAGCATTTCCTCCTCTGAGCAACAGCACCAGCCATGAAATTGGTTGGAGTGTGAAGGCACTCTGCTGTGTTCCTTTCCAACCTCTGAGTCTGGATGGAGAAACTTGCAAGACAGCAGCAAGATGCTGCCCTGGTTCAGGTCTTGCAAACTCACTTATTCTAGAAACGTCCAGTGGTGGATAAGATCCTTATCCATTCTGTCCCCACTCAGTGGACCTTGAGGGAATATTTCCGCAGCTTCAGAAACTGAAGAAGTTTGTCTTTCGTCCTTTTCTTCAAGGCCATCAGGGCTCGGGTTTTCTCCTCCAAATCTTGGTCTATAGCAAATATGATCTTTGCTCTCTCCTCAGCTTTCTTGTCTCCAGAGTTTTTGAAGAGCCTCTGTAATGATTCTTGGTCTATGTTTTCAAAGATATTGCCCACGGCTTTCTTCCGAGAGGCTGTGTCGAAGTGGTAGCCGTGGATGGATGGGCTCACTCGCAGCGACGTGGACATGGTGATGGCTTGGTGGCTTCGCTTTGCTTTCATCGATGTTGTGAGATCTTCAGGAACTCAGCTCCCAGGCGCTGCAGAGAGTCAGTGGCAGGATCATTCTGGGACTGCTATTTAAAGTGTGAACAAAGCTCCCAGCTCAAATTACACTTGTGACATCAGAGTGATCTCAAGGAAGAATAACCACCCAGAGTTAACAGTTGCCCTGCTGAGATCCTGTGAGATCCCCCTTCCTGGACAAAACCCAGCCAGTCCTCAGGCTTTCCCTTCACATCCGAGGAAGCAAAAGCATTATACAAAGGAGAGTCCTTCTTTTCAAAAGAACTGAAACCAGGCAAGATAGGATATAAATGGGGAAGCTTAGACTCTCAAAATCTCCCCAAGAGACAGCTGAAACAAGGCGCTCTGCCAAGTTCAGGAAAGTTTCAGTTACCAAAGGAGTAATTAAAGTGCACTCCAAGCATTTGGCAGCCCCCTTCCGTGCCCTTTGTACATCTGTATCAGGGGCATGCCAGAGCTGGCGAGAAGACTTCAAAACCCAGGAAGTGCTCTGAAGTATGTGTGATTCTGGAGCCCAAGTTGAAGTTCACCTAGCCAAGAACTGTAACCATAACATCCCAGAGCTGGGTCAGTGGCAATCTATAATCACTGAAGAAGACTGTAATTTCATAATAATAAACAAGAATACCAGAGGAAAATATCTCCTCAGACTGTGCCTGGGATGACAATAGCTATTAAAAATGCAGACAGCCTAGCTCCTAGCTCATGCTAGCTACTGAGGAGGCTCTGATCTGAGGATTGAAGTTCAAACCTAGCTTGGACAGGAAAGTCTGTGAGATGTATCTCCAATTAACCACCAAAAACCTGGAAGTAGCACTGTAGTTCCAAGTAGCAGAGTGCTAGCTTTAAGCAAAGGAGCTCAGAGACGGCTCCTAGGCCATAAGTTCAAGCCCCACAACCCAAAGAAGAAAAGAAGGCAGACAGAAAAAGTCAGTCAGTGCTCTGTAGGCTTCATTTCTAAAAGGAATGAGCTGACCTTTTGCTTTAAAGTTTATTTTGGAATCACCCAGACCAAGTCAGAGGGATACCTTCTTTAAAGAAATTTAAATCTGTTATTCTTGCCATCCACAGGATTCCAACAGCCAGCATCCCTGCTGATGCATGAGTTATCATCTACTACATGCTAGCTTTGAAGGGCCAGAAATTTCTTCAAACGGACTGAATGGTTGGTCCATTTTCTTGTCCTCCATGAAGCAGGGGCAGCTCTTCCTCATCTGGTCCAGTCAGACCTGGGAAGCTACCTCAACAGAAAATAGTGATTCTCACATCTTCATTCACTCTCTCTAGCCAATATTTACTAAAAGTATATTCCAAGTTCAAAATTTCTTTTTTTGGGGGGGGGGGTCCAATAGTGGAGCTTGAACTCTGGGCCTGGGCGCTGTCCCTCAGCTCTTCAGATCAAGGCTAGCGCTCTACCACTTGAGCCACAGCGCCACTTCCTGCTTTTTTCTTTTTGCTTATGTGGTGCTGAGGAATCGAACCCAGGGCCTCGGGCATGCAAGGCAAGCGCTCTACCACTGAGCCACCTTCCCAGCCACCAAGTTCAAAATTTCTGAGGCATTGTAAATGCAACAGAAAGTCAAACTGTACCATTAAAAAATGTGGAAGTGATGCCATGCATCTGTGAACACAGCGGCAGGAAAGGAGGAGGCAAATGCATTGACAATTTAAATCAACCAGCCTAGGCTACTTTGTGAAAAGTTGTCAAAGAAAAAAAAAGGGACAACCCCCTCCCCCAATCCTTAAGGAAATGCGGCTTTATCTTAATGAAATTTGCATTCTAGTGGGAGGCCATAGGAGGTAATGAATGCCACAGATTATAATGAAGCAGAGGCAGAGGAGGATGGAGGGAAATCAGACTTTCCCAGGCTAGTGAAGGTGCTTGTTGACCATTGCTATAGGAGAAGGTGCAGAGACTGTAGGATGTGAGGAGGAGGCTGTAGGGACATCCACAGCAAGAGTTCTTTAGGCAAAGGGAACAGCAGGTACCAAGGCCTGAAAACAAGAATACACATCCCCATCCTGCTGTTAGAGCACAGAGAAGCTGGAAGAGTGGTAGGACCGCTCAGGATGGGAAGGTGGTGGAGGCAGGTGAGGGTGCAGGGCCACACCAAGGCTTCGGTACCCTTAGCTTTCACCCTGGGTCATCAATTTAGCTCTTGGAGAATTTGCAGTATGGCTTATGATTTTACAAGATAGCTGTCACTTCTTCACCTTGTGGAGGCAAGCGGTGGAGAGGAGTGACAAGATGAGGCCATAAACTTCCAAAATACTCTAGGTAAAAAGGGCCAAGAAAATTGATTAGCTTCTGGGCCTTTTGTGAATGGAAGCCTAGAAGACTGAACAGGAATGGATATGAGGATGAGGCAGAGGCCTGCTGGCCTCCTCCTTGCAAGTGCATCTTTGAGGAGCATTTTTTTGGAGCTGCTCAGGTGTGTACCGGTTCTTCCACTGAAGAACTCTGCATCCTGATGCCATGACTGAGTGTTACTGATATGCATATCCTGTCACACGTTTGCAGCAGGCCACTTCCCTAGCTGCTAGTAAAGTTATTATTATCAGGGCAACAAGGATTCATTGAGTATTTCCTACAAACTGTAATGAAAAGCAACTTACATAATTCATTTTAATTATCAGCATTGCTCAAGACTTCATCAGCCTTAGGCACTGCTCTTCCTTGAGGTAATTCTTATTTGGGTTATTCTTTCTGCTATTCCCAATTTATTGTTTGTTCCAAAATTTTGATCCTTATCCTGGACCTGTTGTTTGAGGCATAGGCTTATTAATGTAGTTAGACAGATCCACATTACTGAATAAAATAATGTCCAAAGATCAATTGTGCTCTAAAAGGTAGAAACTCATTTCTTATCCTTCATATCTCCTTCTCTTATGCTTCTATATATAATCTATCACTGAGTTCTTGTAGGTCTATGTACATTCCCTTTTCCTTAGCCATTTGCTTGGCATGGCTTATGCCCAACCACTATAAGGTTGTTACTGAGATTCAAATGCCAGAGTTCACTGATAGATTTTCCCAGATACTCAGCTGTCAGACCTTTGGGGACTGCCACCAAACAAGAGCTACATGCAGGTAGATGTAGGTAGCAAGAGAAACTGCACCCAGGGACTCATCAACATGAGGGCAGAAGTGTTTCCAACCTCTAGCTGTTTTAGCTCTGAGGGTCAGGAGTACATCATTATAAGCATCTTTGGTTTTTACTGAGGTCTCCCTCCATCCAATCCTGTTTCCTGCCCTTCTGTAAGCATGGATCCCAAGGCTTCTCCTTATCTGGCACCTGCCTGCTTATCTTCTTTGTGCCTGCTTCCTCAATAGCCCAGCCTGTGACAAGTCCTTTTTTGCCTGGAACAAAACCAAGTCTCTTTCCTGATATTCCTGATTCCATTTTCACACTGAATTCTCCACATAGCACTCAGTGCAACATCTTTTCATAAGTGATCCAATCAAACTACTCTTCCTGTTTCTATTAGACTCACCCCAGGCTATGAGTGTGGCCTTTCCAAGTGTGATCTATGATCTACAGAATCACATTTGGCACTCTTCCTCTATACCTCCACATTCTTTGTGTATTGCACTCATTCCTGTCATAAGGATTTGCACATTTTTCCTTTTATGATAAATCCCAGTTATTCATAAAGTCCTAACTATTCCCTCAGAGAGCCTTGTCAACATACCAGGACCATACTTTAGTACCACTAATTAGGGTTTGCAAATATGCATTTACCTTTATGATTGCTCATTTTGAGTATTATATCTCTGAGCAAGAATCAGATCTACTATTTTCCTTAAGTTCCTAGATCACTTAATATAAAAATTGTTGGAAAAGGGCTGGAAAGGTGGCTCAGTGGTAGAGCGCTTGCCTTGCATGCATGAGGCCCTGGGTTCGATTCCTCAGCACCACATAAGCAAAAAGAAAAAAAGCCGGAAGTGGTGCTGTGGCTCAAGTGGTAGAGCACTAGCCTTGAGCTGAAGAGCTGAGGGACAGCACCCAGGCCCAGAGTTCAGGCCCCACGACAGGACCCAAAAAAAAAAAATTGTTGGAAAAGGTCAGATAAGTTGATGTTAGGTGAAATGAACCCCAAGATAAGTATTCAAATGTTTTTTTCTTTCATGCAATTGTTTCTAACACATTTATAAGATGATTTCTTTGTTGCTTTGTATGTCCCTCCCCCACAGTATAACTCTGCTTTCACTGTACTTAATGTCAGTATAATTTGTGGAGGGGAAGGGAAAAAAACAAATCGTTTAAATAGGGATACAGGTGTACCCATTGCAACAATGAGATGTACAAGTCATTATGTTGAAAACGAACTTTATAACTTTGGCGGGGGAGGGGAGGACATTGGAAGGGATGGGAAGGGGAAACAAGGGAGGAGGCTACAATGCTTGATAAGAAATGTACTCATTATCTTGCCCATGTAATTGTAACCCCTCTGAACAGTATTTTCACAATAAAAATTGTTGGAATAATGTAAAATAACAATGTATGCAACTTCACTTAATTCTTAACTCAATGTTGTAGGAATTTTTGCAAAGCTCATGTTAAAATACAAGAAAGCCAAGCTCTATGGCTCATTCTCCTATAGTCTCAGTTACTTCAGAGGAATTATGAAGGAGGAGGATCATTGAGCCCAGGAGCAACTGTGCATGAAAAAATATAATCTCCTCTCTGTGGAAAGCTGAATAGTAGACCTTGGGTACGTCAAAGCTCTAATCTCTGGAACACATAAATACAAGTAAAAGGGACTTATTTAGATGGAAAACATGATTTTACAGGTATGGCTAAGTTAAAGATCTGAAGATGTTAAGATTTATCCTGGGCTAACTGAATTGACCCATACAATCATTGAGAGTCCTTGTAAAAGGAAGATAGAAGGTCAGAAAGGAGAACAGATGCTGTGCTTCTGGATCTAAAGATGTTGTAGAAGGGGCTCATGCCAAGCAATCTAGGTGCCTGACAGGAAAGTGGCAGTGTTTCCCTTAAATCACCAGAGGGATGGATGGTCATCATATAGACTTACATTCGATTACTGATTCCCTAAACTGTAAGACAATAACAGTTCTTTTAAGCCAGGAAAACTGAAAATTTGTTACAGTAGCAATCAGTAGCGAATCTACTCCCCAGGTCCTTCAGCAACAATAAGAAAGTTTGAA